GTGAGGCCACCCATGGTGGTATGCACCTGTGGTCTCAGCTACGGAGGAGGTGCAAATTAGAGATTCATTATCTAGAGCGATCTTCACCAAAACCTGAAACTCTATTCAGAAAAAATGACTAAAGCAAAATGGACTGGGAACATGGCTCAAGTGATAGAGCATCTGCTTGACAAGTGCAAACCCTGAGTTCAAGCCTCAATACCACACAAAATAAAAGAAAAACAAACCAACCAAAAAAAACTCTCAATGTTCATTCCTAGAACTATTATGCAAAACTACAAGTAAAGTGCAAATGTCTACTTGCAAATGTCTCCTTCTTGACAGAAACTTTCTCTTTGGACCAACTGTTAGCATTATGTCCACCTTTAGTCCTCAGCTCCACCCATACCTGAGCTCTTCCTTGCCCTGGAGTTCCTGCCCTAAAGCTGGCCACTTCCTCTCTCCTCCCAGACCCACCTGAGCACCCACCTACTTCACTTCCTGCCTAGGAGACCCTCCTGCTACTACCTGGATAGGGGCGGGTGTCAGTGCTCCTTCTCCTGGGAAGTATGGCCCCTCTAATAAACATTATAATAATCTTTCATGTGTGCCTGTTTGCCTCAGGGTGGTCCCCTGGAATGGACATGAAGGATCCTTTCACCAACAACATTAGTTAAAGGTAAGGTCACTTTTTAGTACGTATTTGTGTTACTACCTGGGAACTGAAACATACCCTGAAAAAAATTATGAAAATAAATACACCTTGACAGGTAGGTGCTGGTAGCTCACACCCGTAATCCTAGCTACTCAAGAGGCTGAGATTTGAGAATTACAGTTCAAAGTCAGCCCAGGCAGAACAGTCTATGAGATTATTATCTCCAATTTAGCATCAGAAAACCAGAAGTGCAGTGTGGCTCAAAGTGGTAGAGTGCTAGTCTTGAGCAAAGAGTTCAAGGACAGCACCCAGTCCTGGAGTTCAAGCCCCATGACTACCACCAGCAACACAAAAAGGAAAAGAAAAGAAAAGAAATACACTAGCATCATCTTACTATTCACACAAGTTTACTAGGAATGTTTGGGGAGATTCACACAACTCTGAACCTCTAAACCTTGCAGAATCAATTTACAGTATTAAAATATAATTGGTACACATCTAAAATTGCTCTTCTGACACAGAAGAGCTAAGTATGGCTTAAATAACTATAGCTGTTACCTACCTAAGGAATTGGGTTACTTTAACTTGTTGCCAAAATAGAGAATGGGCAGTTAAAGAGAAAAAAACAAACAAAAGCGAAAGTAAACAAACAAAAAATCCTTTGTTGTAGCTAACCAAATCATTGCTCCCAGACATGCCCTTTTACTAATTTAGAAGGAGTATGGTTTTTCACTGTAAGTCCAAGCTGGGATGAGATTTGTGATACCTTTTTGGAATTCACCAAAAGATACTTTGTTGACAAAATCTACTTAGCAAAACTTGATTGTGAACTAGATTACTGGCCTTATTATCTCTAAGTAAATAAAAAGAAAATCGGAAATGCAATAAGACTATTTATAATGAGATAAAATCTAATTTCAGAATACATTTTAATTTATATTTAGAAAATAAATGAAAATGTCCAGTAGTTAACTGAAGTGCTTGAGAAGTTTCTCAGTAAACACTACATTTTTGTTTTTTGGATCAAACTCAAGCTTTAGAGACATTTTTTTAAAATTTAAATTGTTGGAGATAACATTTGACTTAGATTCCTATATAACCCTGGAAGAGGCCAGCTGAGCATGGGCTAAATTTTCAAGACATGTACATACTAGTTAATATTGAGGGAATCAATGAGAAAATCCTTTTACAGACCTACAATTTTGTGAACACCTGAGTTTGGATAAGCATGAACTCAGCTTTATGTATTCAGCTATCAGTGTACACCTCTGGTAAAGTTCCCTCTACCTATATAGATGGGCATCCATGGTGTTAACTTGACAGCATTTCAGGTTCCAAGGAATTCTGGATTTGTCTGACTATATAAAACTGCACCCAAGGTGCAGTCTTCCTAAGAAGGAAAATAAATATAGGACCATTTTAAGAAATATCTTCATAGATACAGATATTAAAACATTCTAGATTAAGTAGAGCCTTTCAAAGATATAGAGGGACTGAACAATAAACTCTCAAGTAGAATATATATGAAGTTCTAAATAATTTAATGAGTTGTTAATAAATCTTCTAGAGTTTCACATGATACCAAGGAATAAAATCACAGTGGTTGTCTGGTTTATTATAGTCCATAAAAAAATTATCTGATCTATATGATACCAGAAGTTGGTTAAGAACAGAGCATAAAGGATATGATTAAAATTTTAAAAAAAACTTTAAAAGTCATTCTGCACTACATAGTTGATCTTTAATTCTTAAAAAATCCTCAAGATGATCATGATAGATTCTTGTTTGGAAGAATGGATGATAAGACATGGAATTTAAAACAATAATCTTGTGTATTGGAAAGTGATATGAGGAATAAAGAAAATCAAACTTTAAATAGAACAGATTTCAGACAACAGCTTATAGTTTTCAAGGGTCCTCCTTAATTTAAAGACAAAATAAGAGGTTTAACATATCGAATTTAGAAAGAAAGAAATGGAGTTAGAATTAAAAAAAAATCTGGCTGTAACTAAGGATGAATGGGAAGTTAAAGTGCATAAAAAATGAAAAGATGTAGTGTCCAAGATTTTCACTGTAACAGTAGATAATATAGTCTTTCAAATAACAGAAGTGAATAATTTATGTGGTTGAGGTGACTGAAGTGTTTATCTGGAAAGATGAATCTCAGATGTCACCTACCTAAATATGATACACACGCCTGAATGCAGGGAAGATAGGACCCTGGGGAGCAAGACAAGATTAGAGAAGGAGGTTAAAGACTATCTTTCAAGAACTAATATGAAGAAATAAAATTTTAAAGTATTCTAATCATCTCAGATATAAACTAATGAGAGAAAAAATAAAACTAGGAAATTCTGACTTGGGTCAGGTAGGGAGGCAGGAAATGAATACAGGAAGTGAAGATCATTCTGATTTCTAGCAACTATGGAGTCACTAAGTAAGTATATATTTTGGTGGAAAAGGACCCTGACTGCACCTTCCGCAGATTACACACTCAATTTAATTTCTTCCCCAGAGATGTCATTAAAATAACTTGTGCTATATTACTCACAATATTATAGCCCTCATTTGATAACTTTAATACAGTTCCTTTAAAATTGAGGATCTTGTACATGGGTCTGACAAATTAAAATATTATCAGTTTCTTTAAATATGTTTCAACTGGCCCATTATCACCTTAATTCTAAGTTGTTGAAATTCTTGAGAAGGCAAAAAGGAGCTAAATACAAATATTATATAATGTACTTGAGTTTTCAGAGCACAAACATTTTGCAGTTAAAGCAGTTTTTATTAAAGTTAGATACTTACTGTATTTATGTCAATACTGATAACAATACTAGTCAAAAAAATCTAAAATATTGAGTCTTTCCTCATGATACTCAGGGTACCAGTTATATTATCTTATCTTTTAATGTGATTAAATTCAAGGTTCTTCTGACACAAATCCTGTTGACTAGGATAGTTTTCTTTTTGGAACAAGATGCAAATTTTCTATGTATTGGATTAAAGAATAAAAAGATATTAGTCACTTTGGAAGCAAATTAGTTCTAAGACTATTAAGGCCTTTGGAAATTAAGGTAAAGTAGAATGTAGATATTTACATACATTTACAATCAACATGAAAATTAAGTTGAAAAATAGAATACTAGAGAAGTTTGTCTAGATCATTTAACACATAATAGCAAATTAATAATAAAAGAAAAGAAGTAGACTGCTGTTTTATTTTAATGTATTGTCCTCATATTATAGGGTTATTCTCCCCTACTATACTTGATTAAGAAAATGAAGTAGAAGATTTAAAATAATTACTAGATTATAGTTATTACATTATTGTCCCAAATAACATACAAAGCTCAGTACAAAGATGATAAGACACAGATCCCTATATCAAATTCAATTCAATCTGTTTTGTATATAAATGTACACTGACACCTATTTTAGTTCAATTGAGACCACCAACTTATGAATATTTCCTAATAACAAGCCAGAATTCTTTTTCCATGTAAAGGTACATGTAACAGAAAGCTGATAGAAAGAGGCTGAAAACAGACTTAATACTTTCATTTATAGGTTAAAAAACAACAACATTGATACTTAAAATAAGTTCATGAAAATACAACCTTTCCAGGTAAACCTTTAATCGATGTTTCCCAACACTGAATCCACAAACTGCACCTAGTAAATTTAACTGTAGTGAATTTGAGAAATTGACTTATCTTTCAGAGAGAGAGAGAGAGAGAAAGAGAAAGAGAGAATATCTACTGTAAACAAAACTGTAGATTAAGTGAATTTCATTTCAAGTATAAAGAATGTCCAGGGAGCATTTGACTACAAGTACATACCCACAAAGATTCTCAATGTATATAAAGGCACTTTTTTCCCCCTGGATTGTTGAATGTCTTATATTATCTGGATAAGTCTTTTAGATGTTAAGATTAGATTTAATTTTTCCCTATGTACACAGGTTGTCTTAAGTATGTATTAGACAGAATATTTTTACTCTCATAAAGACTGTGAAATCGTTTTTTACTTTGGAAAATGTGGAAGCTTACAATGCTTACAGACTCTGTAACTGGCCGTTTTCACTACTTTCAATGAGGCCTGACAGCTCACCAGTTTATAGCCGTGACAGATGATTAGAAAAAGTTTTGCATTTTCTAACTTCTTTCAGAAAAGATTTCCTAAAAATTCAGGATAGTTTAAAAACCGTCTATGAATAATGGAACACATTGCTACACTCAACCAGGTTTTATATCCTTGCAATATTTCTTTCACATGGTTCAGAATGTGCAAGCAAAGCAATGTATTGAAGAACTTCTTAAAACAATCAGGAGAATAAAACATATGAAAAATCCTTTGTAATTACCTCTGTTGAGTGAGGCTGAACTGTTGATATCCCCAGTAATAAAGGAGGACTCTGACTGCTTTCGAACCGTGTCATTCCACATCCTACGAATTCGGCTCTGAGTAGGGAAAGAAAAAGAACAGAAGCAAACTCATGAAGCTATGGGTTTCATAAAAACTGTTTTTTGGAGATATTTCAGTGTGTGTGTCACAGGCATGTGAGACTTCTTTCTAGTATGTAAATAAAATTTTTTCCATGTTTGCAATATAGTCCTATGAAAACTATATGAATGAAGTATATCTGGAATAATATATGATATATATGATAATATAAATAATACACTATATATCTTGATATATATTGTAATATATATCATGACATATAATAATATATCATTATATATTATATACTATACATGACATGCTATGCATCATAATACCTAATGTATGTCATGATATACATTATATAGCCCATAATATATAATATATTGTGATATATAATGATGCATATAAGAAGTAATATTAATGACACTTAATTCACATGAGGTGTAGCTGTAAATATCTATACTGCAGATGATTATATGAAAAGAGAATACATATATGGTCGTATACATTAGACAGAATTAGCAAATTTCAGTTACCAAGATAAAACAAATTATTTCCATTGTAAGTTATTAGAATGAAAATGTTTAAGTATAATTTACATTGTTAGTTTTACTAATAAAAGTTTTAGTTGAAGAACCTTGCAAGAGTAATTTTTGTAAGAAAAAAACATTGAGTGGTGTTAAAATGCTTCTGTACTTGTTTTCCATGAGGTCTAGAAAAAATTCTGTAATTTTAGAGGTTGCTATCAAGTTTTCTTTGTTTTGATGGGGATAAACTTAGCTATTTCAGCTCCATTCATTGATTAATAGTGGAAATTTTTATAGATAAATGAAGCTCCTTCCATCATTATTTATATATTTAAATTTCTAGGTGGAAGAAATTCAACAAAATATTACTTTATATTTCTGTTTGGGATGGTTTTCTTTCTGGGTTAATCTGTTTGTCCACTTTATTAACTTAGTAAGTAAAAATTGTGAGTCTCAGCTCACTCCTGTAATTTTTCCAACTCAGAAGGCTGATATCTGAGGGCTGGTTTAAAGCCAGTTCAGGCAGTAAAGTCTGTGGGACTCATATCTCCAATTAACCATAAAACAAAGCTAATAATGGTGGTAGCCTTGAAAACAAATAAGGAAGGGATAGCACACAGGCCCTGGGCTTCAGCCCAGCCCTGGCAACAGAAAAAAAATTTAAAAAAAGTAAAAAAGAAGAGAGAGACAGAGACAGAGAAAGAGAGAAAGACAATGAAAGAAAACAAAGGAAGGAAGGAAGCAGGAAGGAAGGAAGGAAGGAAAGAAGGAAGGAAGGAAGGTCTCAGAAACTATTTTCTGATGCTTACTGCAGTATTCAGCAAGAAATAATTGCAAAACAAAACTGAAGAGACACTGATTGACTACGGAGGGGCTATGTAACAACAAAAAAAAACATGTTGTACATGTTCTGTTTCCTAGGGGGGATATTAGGTGGATAGATGCTTTATTATTATTTATCATAATTAGTAATTATTTAATATTAATGTTTATAATTTCCCATATGTTAAATTCTTTTAAAGATATTATAATATAATAAAACAAAAAATACATTTATGAAGTCAGTAAGCTGAATGGAAGCTACATGACAGAATTCTTACATGTGGGTCAAATTGGGAAGGACAATCTTTCATCTCATAGAGCTGAGTGCTTGTGACTCACACCTGTATAGTAATCCTAGCTACTCAGAAGGCTGAGATTTAGGGATTGCAGTTTGAAGCCAGCACAGGCAGGGAAGTACAGGACACTCTTATCTGCAATTAATCCCCAGAAAACTGGAAGTGGAGCTCTGGCTCAAAGTGGGAGAGTGCCAGCTTTGAATGAAGAAAATCAGAGACGGAGCTTAGGCCACAAGGTTAAGCCCCACAAGGATATTTTAAACACACACACACACACACACACACACACACACACGCACACACACACACACACACGCACACACACACACGCACGCACGCACGCACGTGCACACACACACACTCACCACTATACATACGTATATAAAATTCTTCAACTTCTAACTTATCCAACTGGTTTTCTAGAGTAAACAAAGCAGAACCTAAGAGCCAGCTAGGGTAATCTCAGCTACCCTGGAGGTACAGATTGGGAGGATGGTGGTTTAAAGCCAGTCTGTGCAAAAAATTATCAAGCCCTCATCTCAATCAATGAACCAGGCCTGATGGGATTCACCTGTGATCCTAACCCCTTACAAAAAGGATGAGATTCTATCAAGGGAAAGGTTGGGAGGGAAAAAAGTGGGAGAAAGTGAGGGGGCAGGGAGTAACACTGATCAACAAGAAATGTACTCGTTACCTGACTTATGTAACTGTAACCGCACTGTACATCACCTTTACAGTACAATTTAAATAGCAATTTAAAAAAAGAAAAAGAAAAGGCTACGGGCATGGCTCAGGTGGTAGAGATCTTCATTTGGAAGCATGATGTCCTGAGTTCAAACACAGTACTGTAAAAATAAAATATCTAAATTTACATCCGCCTAGAAATATTTTAGGATCTATGGTTTGTCTTTTCCTTTGCTTCCTCTCTCCTTTTCTCTCATAATGTTATTACTCTCCCAACCATCTCCCCCCAAATTCCACTAGCCCAATAAATCTCACTATCCCTGAAACTGCACGCTCTCCTCTGCTTCAAGGTCTGGGCACTATTTTCTGGCCTAACATTGCCTCTTCCTGAACATCTTTTCCTCCTCTTATTTAAAATAATGTCATTTAAAAAATAAATTAAATAATGTCATTTAGATGTTAGTATTTTTTTTTAAATCACCTCCAATGGCAATCTTTCTCCAGGACTTAGTCCTGGTGGTCACCTTGAGATTTCATATCTGTGTATTTTGCTATAGCACAGTCTGCTATTTTCTTTTGGTTTGTTTGTGGATTTTTTTTTTTTTAATCTCTCAACACTAGCGTGAAACTCCAGGCCACTAGAGAAGTCCTCTAATAACCATCACTTGTCCTTAGAGCTTGGAAGAAGATGACATCCCAAAGAAACCACTCTATTTCTAAATAACAAAATTACATACATGGGGTTAGATATTTTAGAATCTTTTGGTATGAAAAACTACATTCATATCCCTCAATTTTGCTCTTCCATGAGTGAGTACTTGAGTTTTTGTTTATGCAAGGTCACAATTATTATGTAATATATTTATTCAGTACTTAATGTATTTATTTAGTACTTACTATACTTATTCACAGTACTTAAGTCATTGTAACTTCATACAAGGTTATATTGTCATAATTACTTAAAATTAACACTATATTATGTACAACAAGAAAATGAATGTTCTTCAAGAAAATTGTGATGTCACAAGTAGAAAGCTAAAGAAAATTATGACACAGCTTTAAAAATATAGATGTGAAATTGACAGCACTACTTATAATTTCTTCTAAGTGGTTTTCCATGTAATGGTTTAATTACCCTAAAAACTTAATAAATCAATATTATTACCACTGTTTAAAAATATAGAAAGTCAATAACTAAAAATTTTACTCTGGCCAAGCACAGGGGCACACACTTATAATCCCAGCATTCAAGAGGCAGACACAGGAGAATGAGTTTGAGGACAGCCTAGTCTATATATTAAGATCCTATGTCAAAAATAAACAAACAAAAAATAACATAAAAGAAATAGCAAAGCCAGAAATGGAGCTGTGTCTCAAGTGGTAGAGCACTAATGTTAAGCATAAAAGCTCAAGGCCCTGAGTTCAAGTCTCAAGATTGGCACAAAAACAAACAAAAAATGAGACAATAACTGAAATCTTTATTGTGTGTCACAGCTGCTGCATGATAATGCTAAGATTAAAACAAAAAAAACACCTTCCTATAAAATTTATCATTATTTTATCATATTATGAATAATAGTGTAATTTTCTGTGACAAATAATTCTATCAATTCTTTATGTTGACTATATACATTATCTATGTGATAATCATTATACTGAACATGTATATATATATATATATATATATACACCCACACACACATACCTATGTACATACATACATACACATATATGTGTTATTACTTTCTTTGGATTTTAGGCTATGTGGGAAATGTCATTCTTCACTTGCCATACTCAGCTATAAACCATCTGAAGCCACTAATTATTATGCGAACAGACACTCTGTCTCCTATATTTATAAGATTTTTGGTTCTTTGAAGGTTTTGTAGAATTATTCCCAAGCTAGTCAACCAAAACAACAAGTACCAAATATGGTAGAGATCTGAGTTAGAACATTGCCGATCATCACACCACAGCAACTTAGAACAGACTACATGTAAGAGATGGGTAGGATAAGAGATGACACAGGTTTACCTGTGAGCCTGTGGAGTAGCGTCCAGGAGTTCGAGAGCCAGATGTTTTCCCTGAGCCAATGGAGCTCTCTGTACTTTTGCCACTACAGCAATGCGTGCGCAGACATTTCCCATACTCTTTTCGTACCTAGTCAATTAAATATTAATCTCTGTTAGAAAGATACTCCAGTTAGCCAGGAAATAAGATACACTTTTTGTACTCTAGGTGAGTTTTAGTTTGGGGTACTATAAGGATTTCCTTATCCTACAACTGCAAAAAAAAGTCTGTTCACTAGACAGATTGGGAGAAAAATGATCAATATTGTCAAGTTTGAAATTTTGCATGAGTCTCTTCACATCACTGTCATTATTGTCAGTAGCATCATAGCGATATTGTCTCTTAGTTCAAAGAACATAGGCTTATGATAATTTCAAGACATATGTTCAGCTTCATAAATTCTATATTAAGTACTCTATTGGTACAAAGGTATTGTAGCTATTGTTCTGTAGGCAGAAGTTTAATTAGAACATTAGCTTCTGAGATGCAGAAGGTGGGTTAAGGAAAAGAACAGAGGAAGATAAAAGAGAATATTTAAACACAGAAAGGGAGAATAAGATGAGTTAAAAATCTTTTAAGTTTTTGTTCTCTTGACCTTATTCACTTAAAAAGTGAGATTTACAAATTTATTTTTTTATTGTAAAGATAATGTACAGAGGGTTACAGTTACATGAGTAAGGTAATGAGTACACTTCCTATTGAGCATTGTTACCCCCTCCATTGTTTTCCCCCTACCATCCCTTCCTTCCCTACCTTCCCAGAAGATTTACAAATTTAATCAGCTCAAAATATTTTTACAAAAAGATTCTAGTCAATAATTGTGGGAAAAATACAACTACCTTATTGTAGATTCAAATTCTTCAACTGGGTTTTAGGATAAAATTATACGGTTAAAAATGAGATTAACATCTAACAACTTTAAATTGTGTATTGAAGCAGGAAAACACATCAACCATTTTGAGGGAAAGTTTTATCATTGCCTGCTTAATTGAAACTTTACTAATACCTATCTATGGAACAAGCCCTACAAACATAAAAAGGTAACATGTCCAAGTAACAGCCCCACTATGAACAACAACAACAGAGATAACATAAAATGCTAGTTACATATTATTTTTAGTTCCTTATTTTATTTTATCTGACTTCATATTTTGTAACAATGTTGTTATATTCTATTTACTTTCATTTTAAAAGAAAATTATAAATATGTGCTTTTAAGGTATTATTTAGATTCAAAACAGTATACACTCATTTTGTGAAGAGCTCACACTGATTAAATGCTTTATATATATATGTATGTATATATATATATATATATATTTTTTTTTTTTTTTTGTCGGTCATGGGGCTTGAACTCTGGGCTTGGGTGCTAGCTATCCTTGCGCTCTTCAGCTCAAGGTGAGCATTCTACCACTTGAGCCACAACACCACTTCCGGTTTTCTAGTGGGTTAATTGGAGATAAGAGTCTCACGGATTTTTCTACCCCAGCTGGCTTTGAACCATGATCCTCAGAGCTCAGCCTCCTCAGTAGCTAGGATTACAGGCATGAGCCACCGGTGCCCAGCTATATTTTATTTTTTAACTAAGCTTTCATTTTGAAAATACTGTACAGAGGGGTTACAGTTACATGAGCAAGGTAATGAGTACATTTCTTATCCAGCATTGTTGCCTCAATGATGGATGGCTGGGATGTAGCAAAGAAGTAGAGCTGTCATTTGCTTAACATGGACCCTGCATCCTCTCCTCCAAAGTAAAAACAAACAAACAAACAAAAAACATAGTAATAATATAGCAATGACTAGATGATTGAAATGACCAGGGAAGAGGACCAGTGGGAGTAGAGAGAGAAACCAAGCAAGGTTTAGTAAAGATGAGTTATAAGAACAACTTCAAAAGAGAAGTTGGAATGATTCCAATGTTTATGTGATGAAGTTGAAAAGAAAATGGCCAAGAGAGAAAAATTCATTCTTGGTGGAGAAATACAGGGTAAGCAAGTAGAATTATGGTATTCTAGCCCTTAACTTCTTTACCCATTCTGGATTATCCAACATATATACATTTCTCATGATCTATTTTTTTTAACCCATTATCTTCAATGCTGCATATATCAATACTTAGAAATGTAGATACTTATTTTTATTCAATCATTACATAGCGATACTTTTTTCATTAAAAAATCTTTAAAATATTTTTGTATGCTTATGAGGGGTGTGTGTGCACACGTGTGAGTGTGTGTGCGTGTGTGCGTGCGTGCATGTGTGTGTGTGTGTGTGTGTGTGTGTGTGTGTGTAGGAGGGTAGAGTGAAGAACCATCTAATTTTTAGTCATTTCTTGTATGAAGTTGTGCAATGTAAGTTCCTCAAAATAACTCTAGGGCATAATTACTAGTCTTATTTTACAGATAAGGCCACTGAAATGATTAAACAGTGAAAGCAAACTGACTAAAAAGGTTAAGCAATGTGCTTTATATGGGAAAATAGGAAACTCATGGTGGTCTGTAATCACAAAGGTCTTTCTGAGATGCCATCTCTAACATTAATGCATCATCAATTCATACACTACATATTACTAGTACTATTATTAAAGTGGTCTCCTCCATATCTAAAAAGAAGGATAAATGTTTTAATTAGAAATCAGGAAGGCTTAAAATAATCTCCAAACGAAAATAAGCTTTTCTGACAACAACTAGATAATTTGTAACATTTCTAAGACCCTAATCTTGGATTGTAACTGAAGCTTCTTCTTGTTTGTTTGCTTTTTCCAGTGTACCCTGAAAATGATTGTCTTTTGTAATGATGTGATTTAAACTTTCACCGATATTTACAAAAATCTTGTAGTACTAAGAGAGAAAAGAAAAGAGCAAGAGAACCACATTTCTCCTTGCTACAACAGAAGCAATACTGAAAGGGCCACAGGAATTCATCATGAGCTATTTGCATTTTCTAACCGAGATTGAATGTGCTGAACTGATTTCATAAACAACCATCAAATCAAGAAATCTGGGGATGCCTGTTTCCACATTAACAACATTGCTAACTGATTCATTACACTGACTTTATTTTGCTGTGTTCTGATTTGAAATGGTAAGCATATGTCAAACAGAATAAAGGGAAAGAACATGAACCATGTCCATAAAACATTTTTTTCTGTAGATGATAATAAGGAAATTCTTTGATTGCTCAATCACTTACATACTCTAATCTGTTTCACATGATCCTCCATCTTAATTATTCCAATCACAAAATGATGTCATATCCCAGTATGTGTTGTTTTAGACTGTAGCAGACATGGAAGAATATATGCCTAGCTAATAGAACATTTCTTTCGTTTTCTCACTTTTAAAGTAAAATACCCTGGGAGGCTCCAAGAGCATATTGAATAGTAATCGCAAAGATGAAACCTCTAGTAACCAGTGCAAAAACTGGGGACAGAACCATGTAATCCATACTTAGAAAAGTACTGTCATCACCAGATTATTGATTGTTGTTAATCAGTTGACTCAACCAAAAAATAGCCTTTAATTTTTAATTAAAATATCTAAGCAACTACATATGCAGGATCTATGAACAAAATTATGGCACATGGCTTTAAAAGAAAAAAAAAGAAAAACCTTCAAGACTATTTCTACAGCTGTAAGGACAGATAGTCCATCATTTTTGGTTGAAAAAAAAAACTCAGTAATCACCCATGAGTTTTTTTTTTTTTGGGGGGGGGGTCCGGTCGTGGGGCCTGAACTCTGGGCATGGGCGCTATCCCTCAGCTCTTCAGCTCAAGGCTAGCGCTCTACCACTTGAGCCACAGCGCCACTTCCGGCTTTTTTCTTTTTGCTTATGTGGTGCTGAGGAATCGAACTCAGGGCCTCATGCATGCAAGGCAAGCACTCTACCACTGAGCCACCTTCCCAGCCCCTCACCCATGCGTTTTTATATTTTCTGTTGTAGGGTCATATTCTTGACACTAGAAAAAAATACCATCAAATTTAAAAAATCAAAACTGTAGAAGGGATGGAAGGGGAGTATGTATAACATGTACGATACAAGGACAGTATATCTGATTTACAATTCACTATATTTTAAAATATTATCTGATCACTACAGTGAAGTCCCTTATTTTCATGGACAAATGCCACCAATATTTTAATCCCTTAGCTTTATGCCCATTTTTGTCTGCACATAGTTCTCTTGAGAATCCTATGTTGTTTTTTCTTTTCAAATCTAGGCATCTTTCCAAATAATCTCTGATTCTCTGAAGTTTTTTGTTTTGTTTTGTTTTTCTACAATGCTGACCATTATATCTTGATTTTTTTTCTGGTCTTTAATTGGGTATTTTGCTGTTTTTTTTTTTGATTCCCATTTTATTTTCCTGACAACTATTTTCTTTCTATCTCTCTTCTCAGCTTTTTAAATATCTCATGTTCTTTAACCTCATCAAGTGTAGTAGATTGCTAGCTGGTGAATATGTCCAATCTCTCTATTTTCTTGGGCAAAATGCTAAGCTATGTCCCAGTTTCCTTTCCAGTTTAGTTGCTTCTATCACTAGGAACTGAATAGGAGCCTGCCCAGTGGTTCCCACAAGATCCAGTATTTGTTTCACAGACTGCCTGCTGGATACCAAGACCAATGATGACCACAAAATCAGGCACTGGAATTGAGTAACTCTTTACTAGCTTGGATTTCCCCCTAATAGAAGTCAATATGTAGTAAATAAACATATGCTGAGGTGACCTCTCCAATTTGGGAAGCATAAACATTATTTGGGAAAGTACACCTGCTATATTATAACCTTTTACTAGGGTAAATTTATCCCACTAGATTAAAATCTATCCATTCAAATACAATCTTTTCTGCAATCTTTTATAGACCTGATTGTTATTCTTTTAGCTTGTATTGTGACTATTGCATTACATTTTATATTGCTACCTACAAGTGAAACAGAATAAAATTTTGCTTTATTCTTGTTCCATCTTAAGAAGTAGACTAAGCATTGTTCTCAAGTTATTTTAATATTGATTTATTTTATAAAAAATTCTAGTGTTAGACACCTTTTGCTTCATTTTCTTATTTTCCAAAGCAAATTATAAGTATGTTATTCTAAGAATTTATGTTTTTTGCATTTTGCCACTTCATTTCCTGAGTCACCTCTTTCAATATTTCATAATTATCTTCATCACCTCTATGTCACACATGAGGAGATTGGGACAAAGGAGGTTAATTAACTTGCTCCAAATCACATAAGCTTTTAAGTGGAGGAAGTGAAATTCAAATTCATGAAATCTGGCTAAAAGGCCTAAGTGATCAGAGCTACAGAGACCACATTTTTTAATAGAGTTGAAAAGAGTAATGTAATAAAAATCAATCTGAGGGGGAAAAAAGCAATAAAAATATTTGTTTGCTAAAATTTGCTTTTAAAAGTATACGAGGAAACTTATACAATATAAAAATTAAGAACATAATTCTAATCATTCAAGTCATAATTTCTAATGGAGCTGCTTTTAAAGGAAAGAGTAGAACATTCTTCATTCAAAAAATATACACTAACTGAAAAATGTATATTATCCTACCATAAAATATCTGTATTTTTCCTTCCATGAAACCTAGCTCTTAGCGATGGGTGAAAATACTCCTTGTGGTTTTCCAAATGATACAATGTTTTTATTTTTTTCTTTTATTTGAATACTCTCACCAGCTATTTCATTCTTAATTTGTATCTGTTTCATCTTTAGAAGTATAAACAAATGTTTATTTCTTGAGACAAACATAGCAAGAATAGTATTTTGTTAGAATATATTAGAGTTCCTTTGCCATGAAATTGAGATTATGTAAAGAATATGGTACAATTTTCACAAAATTGGTGTCATTTAATGTTTAAGAGAGAATTCTCACTTACCTTCTTCTGTAGGACACAATGGAAAATGAATATAAACATTCCCTGTAGAGAATTGAAAATGGTGAAGAGATATGCCATGATGACTGTGCTTTCATTAATATACATGAGTCCAAAGGCCCAGGTCAAGCCCAACAGGCAGAGAAGAGCTATTGCACCTATAACCCATGATCTGTGGAAAGAAGAGAAAATGAAAGGTGATCAAATACTTGGTCTTGAATTAACCCAACTATATCATATCAACAATACTGACACTGAAAAAAATGTTATGGCAAGTTTTATTGACAGAAAATGTAACACAAGTGGCATAAGTACTTTAAGATTTTAATGGGAACTACAAGTTTCCAAGCTTGAAGAAATATACGTGAATGAAAATGTTATGAACACAGAAATTCATTTAAGCAAAAGCAGATTTGTGCCATAAATTATTCATGTATTTGTAATGCATATGCAAATGGTATGGAGATGTAATTATGGTGAATGGCAAGGGGGAAAATACTTTGAAGTTATGTTAATCCTTACCAGACTCATTGGTATGATAATATTTATTTCATCGGACTTCCTACTTTACAGCTTCATCTGATACACTTAAACCACATTTTCTCAAATTTTTATAAACATTGTAGTAGATGATAAAATAACAAAACCCTAACTCTTGTTGAAGGGACTAGTATTAAGAGTACATGTATGAGGCTAGCATGTGCTGTGTGTGATTTTATAGTAATCTACTTAGTGTAATCTACAGTCAATGTAAAAGAAAAAAAATTACTCTACTGGAATTACCCAGTCCTCCACCTTTAGATGATTGTCTTTTAGGGTATGTTGGACTAGGTTTTGGAAATCCAGCATTTGGCAGTTTTGCTGAAAGAAGATTAAAGATTCAAGGTAACTTCATCTCTGAAGTAGCCATACATTCATTCAAGGGAGAGGATGAAGCTGAGAATGGGGATGGAGTGGTATGAACAAAGTAGAAGAGCATGGAGACAATTATCACTTGCACTCCACTCTTAATTTCCTCCAAATTCTCAACAGCAGTAATTTTGAATTTATGTATCGAGATAAAGTGAACTCTTCCAATAGATGGGACTCCAGCAGCTGAAAATGGAATCCCTCTCAACTTGTCTTTAAGTAAATAGAAGAATGGGACCCCAAACCAGTCCACTTCTGTGTATAGTCACATAAACCACCTTTTCCTTTGCCAGCACACCTTCCCTGAACAGGATAAAGCATTTCTTTTTGGCACCTTTGTGTTTTATTTACTTATGTAATTTATGGGAATTGAAAATCACAAATTGAAAGGGAAAATGCTTATGTTCACCCTAATCTGAAGCTAAGTTTAATTTGGTTTTGTATTTTGTTTGTGTTTTGTTTTAGAAAGAGCCACATCCATTTGTTAGGGAATGGAAAGACTTGGAAAAAAATTGTATTAAGTAAGATATGGTCACAAAGTCTTATTAAATTGAATATTCACATTTTTTCTCCCACAACAATCAGGCACTATTTCTTAGACTTATTCACTCATTTGATCAGTTGTAATGGTAGCCATCAGCATTTTTGAATAAAGGCTTGCTACAGGAAGTTTACTCTTACATCTGGCACATTTGCTTATATGAATTAGAAACCATCTTGAATGTTAATATTTTATTTTACAACAGAATTAAGAACTGTGGCAACAAACAAGGGCACGTGCTCAGGTTCTTCAGACATTGAGAACAGGAGAAATGGAAATCATCATCAACAAATAAAGGCAAAACTATTGTTATGGTTTAGAAATAAAATGGTAGGATAGAATACTAAAGTCAGATATTTCCCACTAGAAAACACTTAATGGACCCCAATGTTAAATGATCTAAAACTTCAATGAGCTCCAGTTTGTAAAGGAAACACAGAAGCAAAAGCATGAAGTAAGTGAAATGCATCAGGAGAATGGAAACAAAGGACTCTTCACCAGAAGAACAAACTGAAAGTACAACAAGGTCACCCAGAGGTTGCCAATCTTGGTTAATTCTTGCAGGACAAAATTGTATAGGAAAAACTACTCAAATGTTACCTTTTATGTCTATGTTTATTAAATTGGTACAGACTTGTAGCTTTGTTTCTGAAGCTTAAAGGTGTCACAAGGAATTAGATTATTAATCAAGTGACAGGTGTCAAATTCAAAAAGAAAAATTTGCTTATGCAAAATTTTAATTTTTGGAGGACTTTTTTCCCTTTCTCAGATATTTCATGCAATATTTATTCATAGCAATTTAATACGGGTAGTTTCAGATGACCCGTAAGAAATACCAATAAACCAACAGGTAAGTTTAGATGAATAGTGCTTGAACAAACAACAGAAATCATAGCAGAGACTGACGCATCACAGTGTAAAGAGAAAAATTATACAGTGGAACAAGTCTGTAGCCCAGGAAGTTATTATTACTGTGGCACTGAATTCAAGTGATATCCAATTCACAGAGGTGAAGCAGAGCTTCATTTTTTGGCAATACAGCTGCAGCATATTTACTTATATATAAGTGGTATGCCAGCACATTTTCCTGCACAGTTTGCTCTTCTGCCTCAATGTGAATGACAGAAGCTCTAATGATTTTTCAGTACTGATCTGACAACTGGTTCATGGGACCACACTGATAAATGGAATTTATCAGCCATTCAGGTCATTCTTACTTGATGAAGGGTCTGTTATCCTCATAGCTAAAGAATGCATAGACATAAAGACAAGAACACCAACATTAGCATTTTATGACAGAATTTTCTATGAAAAATATTCTCTTGCTCCCCCACCTCTCTAAAAAGGTATCATAACCTTCTCTTTATATCCAGAAGGTAAATCCAAAAATGACCATGAGAACTTAAAAACCAAGGAATAAAATCAATTTGACAATACTGCAATAGCCCTTACAAGACTCAGAAATTTCATTTTTTCATCCTGTGCTCATATTACTTGTGAGTTGACAGAGACATTTATTTCTTAGAGATCATATTTCTCTAGAGAATGAGAAATTTTATGAGCAATCTGGAAAGGGCTTGGGGGCATGCTTAAAATGACAGATTTCATGTCATTTAAAGGTATCCTTATTCTACAGTATTAGTAGGTAAGATTACTTAATTATGGAGAGATTGCTTCTAAGTAATTTTAACTTGCAGAAGATTAACCTGACTTAAATCTGAACATCACAGCCCTTTGAAAACACTCAAGCTTGATGATTTAAAATTCCTTCTGTTAATGTACTGAAAAGCTAAATAATCTTTTGCAGTAACAGGAACAAATGCAGAATCCCATTTTATTGTCACTTATGTTCATTAATGTATTTACTATCAACTGCATAAAATAAAATCTTAGAGTCACATTAGTAATGAAAAGGTAGAAAACATTTTACATTGTCTTTTTACAAGCATACCTTTTGATCAAATACTTGTGATGAGACAAAAAAGAAATAGAAACTATTTAATTTTGCTTTCTTTCCTCTTGGCAGAGAAAAAATATATTTTCACCTATTACACACGAACTACATGCTACATGCTCTTAGGTTGTTTTAAATGAAGAGAACCATTATAAATACTCACTCTACAGTAAAGAATGGTGTCTACCTGAGGTTCAAACTACAGTGTGGTCACTGAATAGCTACTTGAACTTAGGCCAAAACTAATATGTGGTTGTGTGCATATATGAAAAATGGTAATGATATTTAAGCATAATCTAATTTCTTTCTTGTATAATGTATCTTTCTCAGAATGATGAAATAAGTTATTAGGTTTAAATTCCTCAGAACTCTGTGATCAATATGGTAATTAGGTGCCAGGGCTGCCAGCAACATGCATTCACTGTCAGGAGCACAGACATACTGAAGGGGCAAGATGGGAGCTAAGCTCTTTGACACCTGGAATCGAAATAGAGATGATCACAGAAAATTTCCAAGAATAAACACTCAGTTGCATCCTGAAAGTCTTCACATATAGTGGTTCTCCTTTATCTAAGAAGACTATGTACTGAGATTTCCAGTGGGTACTTGAAATTACTGTTTTATACACACATACTATTATGACAGTTTAATTTATAAATTAGGCACAGTAAGAGATAAAAGAAAGTTACAGTAACCACAAGTGGCCATTTAAATTTAAACTCATTAAAGCAAAGTAATATTCAGAATTCATTTCCTCATTCCAAATGCTCAAAGGCTTTCCACAAATAATATGAATACAGCGGGTAGCACAGTTCTAGAACATTTCTATTATAGGAAGTTCATTCTATTGGATAATATGAGCTAGCATGGTCAAGGAGCGTGTTAAGTCAAGAAATGTAATTGCAAGAGATAACTCTCAGAAATAATTCTTAAAATTCTTAGAAATAACAAATATAATCAGTTCTTAGGAACAAGAATAAGAGTAAGTAAGAATAAGAATAAATTACCTCTTTTTCTGTCACATGTAGCTAAGCTATAAACATACATGAAAATATATAGGGTCATATGCATACATACACCAACATATTGACTAGATTAGTGATTGTGTAGGATAGAATTTCAATGATGTAACTGCTTCAAACAACTAACACACAATTTAGCAATATGAATAACATGAAGCTGAAATTTGTGTTGTTGATAGAATTGGGCAGTTAAGAGAATGAAAGGCAGAAGAATACAGAGAGGAAGAGGTGGGGATATAATCATAGTATTTAATGTATATTTCTTTTGTAGCTTTTTTTTTCCTTTTTCTTTTTTTTTCTTTTTTTCCAGGGTTGAGGACCAAACCCAGGGCCTTGCACACGCCGGGCGGGCGCCCTTCAGCTGGGCTAAACCCCCAGCCCCTAATGTATATTTCTTAAATGGAATCAAGTAATTTGAGGGAATGGAAGGGATTGGGAGAGATGGGGGAGAACAATGAAGGATGTGACTGATCAAGAGGCATTTTTGACATGTTGAATTGAAAACCTTGTAGAACTACTTTATCCAGTAAGTATTTTTTTTTGGGGGGGGGTCCCGTTGTGGGGCCTGAATGCTGAGCCTGGGCACTATCCCTCAGCTCTTCAGCTCAAGGCTAGCGCTCTACCACTTGAGCCACAGCGCCACTTCCGGCTTTTTTCTTTTTGCTTAAGTGGTGTTGAGGAATCGAACTCAGGGCCTTGAGCATGCAAGGCAAGTGCTCTACCGCTGAGCCACCTTCCCAGCCCAGAACTACTTTATATATACATATATAGTACAGAACCTCTATACTTGTTGATATTTAAATGTTATTATATAGAATGTTGGAATTTATTCTGTATGTGCATTCCCATTCCATCAGTACATTTCATCTGTTGTGTTGCATTTATGAGCAGAATACTCTTCTATGTTAATTTGCTCAGTATACAATCAACTAAAGACAGCTGCAGAGGGTAGCATTTAATACATGCAGAAATGCTTTACAAAATTATATCAATAAACTAAAAGACAAAGCTTACACTACACTTGCTTAAAGTGACATGCGTTAGGTTTTTGCCTTCAAAATGATGAATTGAAACAGAGAGAAAGGTGGGACTCAGAAGTTTTGTTAGAATTTGTGGAAATCACTAGAAAGACTGTTAATTTCAGCTTCATTTAGAGTTAACTGAAGTTCTTTGTTAAAGTAGTGTTCATTGGGATGTGAAGAGAAGTGAATTGTGACATTTCTAGGTCTTTCCAATTAAAGTACTGGAACTAACTGTCCCTTTTCCATTTCCTCTTTCTCTTTGTCTAGGAGAAAGTGACAACAGTGCATGAGACCCCAAAATGAAAGCTGCTCACCAGTACTACCAGATGTATCAGATTTAAGATACCTAATTTGAGACTTTTGTATAACAGAATTTAATCCATTAGAGTTTAGGGTATTATTTTGTATAATAGTTAACTCTATACAATGTAAATATTTTTTAGGTATAAGCATTTCAAGTTCATATTCAATATAGAAACTCAGGTGAGTAAATAAAACCTTTTACCACCAATATTATAAAATTAATATACAATGGTTTAAATCTATAAATCACTGAAAGTTACCCTATATGAAGTAAGTTCCATCAATTTCGTCAGAAGTTCTATTAGCTCAAGGGGTCATATTTTGTAATGTCTTTGCATCATATCCAAATTGACTTGATAGTAATGTTGCCATTACTTGTGGTAGCAAAGCTGTAAGATGTTGATTTCTCTAGTTCTATTTTAAAAGCATAACTATAGAAGAGTTTATAAAATCTAATATTTTCCTAATGTGCTTTCACAGTTAAAAATAGCCATTAAATAGAAATTCTATTCAAGGTTCCATAACTAAAAAAAACAATTCTCTGCAATTATTTTAACTTTCAAAGAAAATATGTAACCTTCTGGGTTAATGGGATAATTTTTAATTTACAAGTGTCAATTTATGTAAAATATTTCATACATATATTTTTGAAGACAAATGAGAAAAATGAAACCTATTTGTTTAAAAAGCATGTTTTTCTTTCAATAAAAAATAAGCTTGACAATAATTATGTTTATATTTAAATGTTACATAAAATCCCAAGGCCCACAAAAAAGCTACTAAAATATATTTTCACTGAAGCTTAGCTCAAAGCACATCTTCAAGAAGATAGATTTCTTCCCTAAAGTATTAACTTATAAACTAGTGCTACAATATGAAAAAAATGATATTATCAATATACACAAATGATGAATGGAAGACACATCATGAATGAAACAAGCTAATTACAAGATATTCTTATCTTTCTGTTCTTCAGCAGTTATAGAATAAAATAGCTATGATGTTTCACAATTTTAAGGACTTATCTGAAGTAGAAGAAATAAAGGAGACAAATTCTTTAAACAGTTGAAATATTCCTTTCTATTATCTCCTCCTTGAAGAGATTTTTAGTACTTTACATTCTACAGAATACTTTTAAATTACAAGATCAGTAAGTGTTGGTATAAAGACAGGTAGGGTGACGAGAAGCATGTTTAAGTATTTAATCCTCAAGTTAAAAGATGTGGTATTGAGAAGTCATAGGTAATAATGGAACAGGAATGATTTTGACAGAACTTTTAATCCTATCACCTTCAAAATTAATGCATACTGAGATCCTTTGGAATAGCTGAAGGATTAGCTAATGGATGTTGATGAGTGGGGTGTGTACTTCTTGGTGTGTAAGAGACACTGTGATCCTGATTAGTCTCCCAACTTTGAAGTTTTGGTATATAATTGAATTTACTTTAATTAGTATAGAGTTAATTTTATCAAAGACATACATTTCCTTCTTTTAATTAATACGGTTCATGTTACTAAGAGTAGTAATAAAGTAAGAGAATTAGAACAGAGAAAGAGGTAATAAATACTAATGCGACTGTATATTGAGGGACGTTTGGCTGTTGACACTCAGTTAAAAAGGAGGTACCCAAACTGGGGACTGAAGAGTCACTCACCTACATGCTAAATGGAGCCAACAGCAATCTATTCTAATGCAAAGACTTCTGATAGGCTTATTTAGAAACCATTCAAGTGATTAAATTGTTGATGGCTCACCCCTATAACCCTAAGTACTCAGGAGGATGAGATCTGAGAATCTTGTTTTAGAGCCAGCTTGGGAAGACAAATGAAATTATGATCTACAATAAATCAGCAAAAAGCCACGTGGAAGCATGGCATTGTTCCACCTGTGAGTCAAAAAGCCAAATGAGAGTGAGAGGTGTTGTGTTCAGGCCCCAGTTGCC